GCGTCATCTTTATACATATCTCAAACCATTGTACGCTTGTTTCATGTTAAACAGTTGCGGTTTGGCAGAAAATGTGGTAAAATGTACGGAAAAAGGTTTTAAGCGTGTGCGCGTTGATATTTTGAAGGTCATGTCATAAGCGGATGTAATGTTTCAGTTGGGAGAGGTGGTTTTTTGTACTGATCCATTGCACAAGATATGTACGTTATTCTTTTACGTTTCAAATAATTAATAATGGGGTTATATACTCTGTTTGCATTCTGTTTTGTCAACAATTTATGCATGTCTTCATAATGTGTTTTCTTAGAAATATAATTAAAATTAGAAAATTTGAGATTTTTTTTACAAATAAAGGACATGGACATTTATATTTCTACTTATAAAACAGCAGATTGAATTATACTAAAATAAGAGATACTTTTTATGAAGCCTTTTGACTGCGCTATATCCAATAACGAAGATCAAGTAAAGACGGTGAGCTTCAAGTAAATTGAAAAGGTAATAAAAGGATTGGAAAACGATTAGATATTTTGTGCATAAATGTATTGTTAAAATGAAAACACATTTATATAAAAAAACAATATTCATACAAAACACATCATACTGTAAAAATAGTGCAAGTAAATAACAGTGAGTAAATGCGGTGACATACCCCTTCTTTTAGGAGTGCCCTTTACCAGCAATAACATCTGACTGCACAATGTACACATAAAATGTACAGATGCTTTTTCAGCCCACCATTTTCCCCTGGTCTCTCACCAATCAAACATTGGACGAAGTTTTCACGCCGTGTCACCGTATCGTTCAGAGAAAGAAAGTGGGAAATGGTTGACAAGGAATTGAGAGTCATTCTTCCGGACGCTGTCCATATTCTCATAGATTCTGTACCTAGACGTGTCTTTGGTAGAAAATCCGCAATGGGCCTTCAACCTACTGAACTGACATTGTTCTCATTGTGTGTCATGAGTATCATTTCAATATAAATATTACTTAATATTTATTGCAATCTCTTCCTCTATTTGCAGAATTTCTTCTCATTTTAGTCACTCTTTTCTGATACCGCATTTTCAATATCAAGTAGCGCACGCGAATAATACATACACCAATTTACATTCTGTATTCTCGAACTTCTGTTTGATAACAGTCGTAAATGCGCATTTTTTTCTCTCTTTGACATATAAAGTTAAAAATCTATTTGAAAGTTCAAAATAGGGGAGGAAAGGTGGGAATATTTTATATAGGATTAAATGTACCGAAGCAAACAGAAATGATTTGTATATAAAAATATCTCGTTCACCAATAACGATAATGATATCAATGTGAAATAACTAGTCATCTAAAAAAATGTTCATGAATTCGCTTAAATTCTTTAACATTAAATGGCGACAAATTTTAATTTCACTGTTTAAAGTTACAGATTTGTAATTCTTCAAAAATAAAAAGGGTTGGAGGGTAATGCGCTAAGGAACCTATTAAGTTATTTTCATAAATGAAATGCATTCACGCAAGATGAATAAAATTACAAGCAAATTATTCAAAAATGTGCCCTCCAAGATATTTGACAAGAACTAAGACCTTGTAAGCCACAACTGGAGAATTTTCATAGTAACATTTTCAAAGAAAGTTTTCTTCTACACAATTATATTATATAAGAAGGAAAACTTGTGTATTCTTCATTCTCAAACATAAAATTCTTTAGCTTATTTAACGATTAAGTAATACTTAAAATTTTTCTGAAAAAAAGGGTATTATATTTTTATTTCTTTCATATTTCACGTTCGCAAAGGTCTCTATCAGATTTTTTTGTCAGCCCCACCAATCTCATCCATTATTCTCTCAGTATACCCTTTATATTTTTAGAGACGTCTCGTATCGCTTTCCTAATATCCACACGTTAGCTGAGATCTATCATCCCCTGACACTTCGTATTCTCTAGTCATTTTCTCTCTCATTCATTACACGTCTACTTATTCAGGCAGTTGCTAAATTCGATTCAGGAAGGGTGAAATAGTAGGCAGCATGGGGACGACAAATCAACACCGAACAGGGATATCCACCTGTCCTGCAAACCATGTATAGTCGTTGAAAATCGCTATAATAGTAGCTGTTGGAAGGACGATGAGCCAGACGACGAAGTGGTTAAGCAAAAGGAGATTTGGAGCGCCGTGGTAGTGTTGAAGCTGCACATACGCAAATTTTCCATTTTTCTCGGAGTTGGTGCTGGAAGTATAGGCCAGTGAGCCTCAGAACGTGTAGTTCATGCGCGATGGTGCACCAGCACATTTTTCAAGAGCACGCATTTCGAAACCACCTCCATTCTAAATATCCCGGCAGATGGATTGGACGTGACGGACTTGCTGCTTGGCCTCCACGTTCGCACTGTTCAGCTACACGAGGGCTTTTGGCGACGGACCACGTAATTTTGATCCATGGTCAAGTGACGTGGACGACACCTGAGCTGGGTTGAGTTGAGTTGAATTTGGTGTTTTATGGCGCAAGAGCCAGTTTTGGCTATACTGCGCCAAACATTCATAGGTCTGTGGTCTGGACGGGAAAAGAAGAAATTGGATGACAAGATGGAGGGTCTAAAATAGAGAAGGATCACTGGGGTACCCCGGGGTCGTGACACCACCCGTGTTTACCAAAGATAGTAAACCCCTTGGGAAAAAAAAGATCACTAGGGTACCTCGGGATTGTGACACCCGTACCTACCTGAAGAAGGTGAGCTCCCTGAGGGGACACCTGAGCTGGCACACCCTTCTCCTAACTACCACACCACACCAACGGGAGGACGTTTCAGCTCTCGACAGATTTAACATGCATCACTGCCCTACACGTCGGTCTCTAGTGGTATCGGGATCGAAATCATAACATGCCTGCCACGATCCGATACCTTAACCAATAGGCCACCGCAGCCTCCACGTTCCCCGGACCTCTATTATTTGGATTTCTTTTTCTGGGACTACATTAAATCACTTGTGTATAAGACGCTGGTTGTTACAATGAAGGATCTCACGTACCAGACCGTCGTCATTTCAGCTGACATCGCCAGCCCACCGGATTTGTTCCAACGCATCCGACAAACCTTCGTCCTTCGGTATCGGCTGTGCTATAACCTATGCTGCCGCAACTTCGAACCTTTCCTAAGACAATCATTTCTGCATTTCTGACGCTGAGCTAAGATGCATTGTTCGTATTGTTAACATGCTTTACGTCTAATAAATATATTTCTTGCCTCTTATTGCCCCTTTTCGTTTCACTCGACTTCGCACCCTTCATAACTGTTTTTTCGAATTACTCCGACAAAACATGGTTTGCGACCCCATGTTCTATGGTGATTTGTCACCCCATGCTGGCTACTATTGTTGAAAATGTATTATTTATTTTTTTTTTAAATTTACATTTTTAAAAACTTTAAATTTCAGATGGCAACGTTAGTAAAAAAATTGTATTATTTTTTTTCTTTTTTACTTTTTTTTGCGAATGGCAACACCGGTGTTCTGTTCGATTGTTTATGTTTAGAAAAAAGGTCCGTTTTTGATCGGTGATCTTCGAAATTTTTATCTCTTTTTATTTCAAATTGCTAGTACCGTTGCTCGATTTTTAATTAAAACTACTTGATTTAGAAGTGTGGAAAACGGATTTGGTGTCCTCATAATTTTTTTTGAAAGCAAAAAAAATTGGTAAGATTTTCTTTTGATGCTTTTCACTGACATAGCCATCTGTCGATAGCTATGTCTTGGGGGTTCCCGCGTGTTAGAGGTGTGGGATTATCGGAAGGATGAGACATTCTATAATTTTAATACGATTTTTATTAAGAATTTAACTTAAATTACTTATATAACGAACAAACTTATATTGTGAGAAAAAAAACCAACGTACGGCCGTTTAACTAAGCGACCCGGAATTAGATCACTTATCAATATAATATAGATCCTCCTAATCTCAATTCAAAATTTACTAGGTTCAGAAATAATCCTCCTCCCTTTGGGTTGAAGGCTCAACGATACTGATACTTTCGGGTAGACTGATATGCTCGTGTGTAATAGTTGCTTTGTATATATTAGCAAAGGTGGGCGTCTCCGTGTTCCTGGTAGGCCGTCCAAACACACTTCCAACGTTCCACACGCTTCTCTAAGATTGCCATTTTTTTTTCTCACTAAACTTTTCTATCCTTTTTAAAGGTTATCTATTTGCATTGTTGCTTCGTTTTCCTCTTGGAATTGGGTTGGAAAAGTTTTGCCATTAATCGTGGCCGTCAAAGAACGTAGGAGTTATGTTAGAAGAAGAACGCGAGAGATGTCACAAACTATCATCCCTGTGTCGGTTGAATTCGAAAACAACTTGTATAACAATGTTTATTTGCATACATCATAATTCTTTAAGGTGAGATTTTTATATCAAGCATCATAAACTGACCAAGTGATCGAGTTAAAGGAAATTTTACTATTTACTTGAAATGTCGACGTACTTATTATATACACGTTATTTATAAACATTCATCTGTAGTGGACCTTCAAAAAAAACCATGATTTCACTATCCCGCTTTAGAGATAACGAGAAAAAAATATTTATACCAAAAACAAGAAAAACCTCCTATTCACAAACTAACACATAATTTGGATATTTTTCCATGACCCACAGCGATCTCAAACCGTCGATGAGACTAGCTGTCCAAACCTACTTCCAGCATTCAAGAAATAAAATTCCAACAACAGTTCCTTTACTGTTTTACTAAAATAAAACCATTTTTCCATTCCTACTATTAGTTCACTCTCTCCCTATATATATATATAGAGAGAGAGAGAGAGAGAGAAATATATATCTTGTTCAAATTTTCAATCGTTAATAAAATACTTTCTATTCATCCATTCAAGTTCAAATACATTTTTTTAAACTTGCAGTGGATGACACTTGATATTAATACATTTTTTTCAAATATTAATTCATTAATTAGAAAAAATGAATAAATAGTAACAAACAAAAATAATGTTCGTTGTGTCCCTGTAGGGCAATGAATAGCGCGTTGGAAATCAAATCCAAAGGTCGTCGGTTCGAATCCTACCTGGGATGGCCTAATTTCTGAGGATGTGATTTCTTTTTTACTATACTATTTCATTAGAATAATTAAATTTAATTAATTAATAAATAGTAACAAACAAAAAGAGTAGTCCAACACAATATACAGAAAGGGAAATGGAAAATCGCTTTCTATTTTCTACTTAATACTGTGATTCTCTCATATGTATATACATATTTATATATTAATTGTAACTATTTAATATAAAGCAACTAAAATAAAATTTGCCTTTGTTTACCTAAGTAGGAATTGAATTATTTTTTAAAATGTATTACTTGATGTGTACCTATTTATTTAATTATTATTGCTGGAGTAGTATTTTTATACAAATGAGCTGGTAAAAAGCAAAAAGAGATATTTCTTTTGCTTTCTTAGCTTGGTACCATAATCGCACTATAAACCCAGGTAAAATTTTGAAAATTTACAGATCTGCATCAACTCAATAAAAAGGAAAGATGCCTTTTAGGAACGTTCCTTAGGAAGTAGAATCTACTTTTAAATAAAATATCCTTGAAAATACGTGTTACTCCAGCTCTACAAGCCGGAAATCATGCTTTATTCACCTGTTTTCATCAAAACCTTCGTCGTACGCTTTATTTAAATATTAATTTTCCCACACTAACTTTTCCTAGAAGCACACTCACGCAAACTATGGTCTCACATGATTCGTAGGCTCTTAACCACAAAAATTGGAAAAGCAAATGTATTGCTAATGCATCTTTCTTTTTCGATCACATAACAGGAATACAATAAATCCATGGAAAATGAATTGCAAGTGTCAGAAAACAATTACGTATACCACTCCTGAGATTTAGAGCTATTGGAGGTTTGTTGTTGCTTCGAAAGTGAAGAAAATAGATTTACGAGGAGATACTTCACTAACTCCCACGTATTGGACACAACCGACAATGACCCTTTCACACCTTAAGTTCCGGTTTGTCGCTTATGCTATTATTCACCAACACCCACTCATGTTTCGAGTGTTATAAATTAGGTGCCTTCTCGCTTACACAACGACAAAAACAGAAGCTGAATTTCTGTTAAAGTTCAAGAATGTCGAACAACTTGTATTGATTGCTTGACCGTTGGTTCTCGTGGAGACAGTTTTAAGGGCCGCTGCTTAACTTAGTTCATTTGAAATATACTGTTTTTTTTTTTTTTTTTTTTTTTCTTTTTTAAGGAAAATAAAGCTATATGATGATTTAATATTTCTTCTTCGTCTTGTAACAGATTTGAAAACCTCATCTTTTTGTGTTTTTATTATAACATACAGTATATTCGTATTTCCGCGTTTAGTTCCCAAATTTTTTTAAAAAGTTAAACTAAAGAGGTCGGCTTATAGACGGATCCGCTAATCTCGGAATAAAGTGCAGTTCAAGAGAAACGTAATTTTTAACATGTTCCGTTAACAATGTGGAACTTTTGAGTCAATCCTTTTGGATGTTTTAAAAAGAATTTTTATTCACGAAAAGAAAAAGAAACCGAATGAATCTTTAAAAGCGTAGAAATTCGAGTTTCCGAATAGTTCGCAACATTCGCATTCACTCAATAGAATGTCTAAATCTGTAGTTTGAAATTAGACGTGTAAAAGTTTCTCATCTCGATCAGTTTCTAAAGGGAAAAATGGTGCTGAGAGTAAGATTAACACAGATAGTGTACAACGATGCTCCGCAACCTTTTTATCGCTGCGGACCGGTCAACGTTTGATAATTTTACCGCGGCCCGCTGAGGGTGGGACACGTTGATTGTTTATATTTTAGATTGTTTTGATTCAACAATTTTAATTTAGTTACAGTTAAATATGCCTTCGGAATAAAATATAGTTACACCGAAAATGAATAAAAGTGATTTAACTTAGAATATAAAGTGATTTCCGTGGAAAGTTGCGCAAATCCGAGAGAAATGCACCACTTTAAATAAAATGGGAATAGTTTAATGTTCTTTAGGCGGCCCGGCACCATTTGATCCACGGACCGGGGGTTGCGAATCACTAGTGTACAAGATAGAAGAATGAAAAAAACATGTCAGCTTCAGATAGGGTTACTAGAACAAAAACTATCGTCGTTGGCGTCTGACGTTTTACTCTACAGCAATTTAATTGGAAAATACTTCACCCAATTTTACCCACTTAGAAATATTTTCGCTTTCATGGCAACATGTTTAGAAATTACAGGATTTTTTGTTTTGGCTTATACACGGAACGTCTTATATTAGGGAATATAAGGTATTTAAAACGTTCGTTTGCTCTCTTTAATGTTATTTCAATTATCAATCAAAACATTGCATGCATTCATATATAGATCGCTTAAATATTGTTGTATAAACTTTTAAAAAAGAAATGCATGAAGTCCTTGATGAATTTCGAATGAGTAATTTTAGTGATTTCACCATGAGCTAAGTTTTTTAAAAATGAAAGAATAAAAACATTATAGTAAAACTAAAACATTTATAAATTAAAAATACATTAGACTGTAAAAATTTTGAAAATTGGTCAAGGTAAAATTGAGAATTTTTAAAAAAACTGATTATATCGAATTATTGTACATAAAACAAAATCACGGAATTTTTAATAAGATTTTATAAAATCAAATTTGGTGGAGTGAAATATTATAAATTTAATTTTACAAATAATGCAACAATACTACTAGATACGTAAGAAAAATAATTTATTAAATAACAATTAAACTTACTATGTATAATTTAACTTAAATATATATATATATATTGATAATTGAATCAGTTTAAGTTAGGGAATAAAAGGTTCTACATTACATTTTTAACATGAAATAATGAGTTTTTATTTACACATTTTTTAAAATTAAAATTTCAATCCAGTTTTATCGAATTTTTTTTAAATCAATTTGTAATAATAGGGGTAAATTTTCAGATGTACGTATTTCGTATAAATATTTAAAATTTCTGTTGAAATTGATTCATTTAAGAAAAGAAATTCATTAGATTAAACAAGTAATATAAAAAAATTTAATCAATTCATACTTAGATCAACAAAGAAACATTTTATTTTAGCTACTTTTTATTAAATAGTTACAATTAATATAAATATGTATATACATATAACAGAATCACAACATTAAGTGGTAATTAATTTTTATTAATTATCATTAAAGTATCGTATTGTCAGCTAAAACAATCGTGTATATAAAATTTCAGTTCAACTAAATGCTTTAAAACGTGAGAAAAAAACCTTTTAAAGTTTTGTCACAAGTCGCTAAAAGGGTCGCTAAGTCGCCAAAAATGATGCCAACGTGGCTGTATTTGTAATTTTTTTAAATAATCAGTTTTAATCAATTAATTTTTATTAATATTAATTAAATTATTGTATTGTCATCTAAAATAATCATGTATTTTAAATTTCAGCTCAATTGAGCGCTTTAAAATATATTTTATTAACGATTGAAAATTCCACCAAGATAAATAAATAAATATATATAGAGTGTGAACTAACAGTTAGGAATTGAAAAAGAAAGAAAGAAGGCACTTAAAGATAACGTAATTGCTAAATTTCTGCTCGTATACTTATACATTTTGTACATGTTATACTATCACAAAAATAAATTTATATAGTAAATACATTTTCGCTGTTGCTAGGCAACCATACTAATTTTATGAAATTGTTCAAATACAGGCTGGCCATCGGCCCAGAGTACAGGGCGATGGCCCATTTTGCTAATGCGGGCAATGGTCTACTGCTTTCTACGATCAATACTAGACGAAATCAAGCATTATCCATCAGTCTCTACTGCATTTGCTGCTTTTAAGGTAACCTTTAATGTATTAATTGCATAGTCAATTTTCAGGACGTTATCATGTAGTTAACAGTTTCAGCGGATCGTAAGTTTTGCTTATTTTACAATTCACACACAATTTAAAAGGAAAATAAGAAAGAGTATCTCTAAGTATATCAGTTGCCATTCTATATTCGAGCACATGAAGTTTCCATTATCATATTTTGAAAAACAGAAATGGTTATATATGAGTTATGGTTGAAATTATCAAGCAATTGTCATTTCCTTTCAATGCAAAAAAATTGTTTTATAAATTCAAAAATATGTGCTAATATACCGCTTGCATCCTAACTACAAACATAGCTGCTATTTTAATAATAGGTATTTCTTATATAATACATGGTATAGGATTTATAAAAAGATTATAAGTATTTTTGTCATTTTTCTGTCTACGTTGTTTGTAGAGATTTCGTACAAATAATTTAGGAGGTTTCAAGGAATAATTTTCCATGCAGCACTCTTTTGTAAAATCCTCCCCCCACCCTTTTGTTTTCGTTAGGTTTGATTTTTTTACTAGCGTCGCACTCTAAAGTAATGCGAGTTTTTTAGGAGACTGCTTGCATACTATCCAGTAAAAGTTCATATACCTTACATATACCACAGTACATAGAACCATTGGTTTAAATAATAACTGATTAAACTTGAGGAGGATAGAACTCGGCACCTTCTGCTCCGTAAGCACGTAACTTACCACTGAACCAAAATGATCACTTTAGTCCGAAGGCTGTTACTGGTACCGCCACCAATTTTTAAGGCTGTTTTCGGTAGTTCGCAGGTTCGACTTGTAAATATTCTTTACACAATAAACTCATTTCAAGGAATTACTCAACTTAAATTAACAACAACACACAAAAACTTTAATAACCTATAAATTACCAATCATTAGAATGATTCAAAGTTGGTTATAGCGTCAGCCACTCCACTTCCGCTTCCACGCCACAGGTCTGGGCAAGGTCGACTCAGCCTTTAATTCCTTTAGTGGATCGATAAAAGAATACCAAGCTTGCTTGAGAGGTAAACACTAGTGATTTTGTGGCAAACTGACCACCTGACCGGAACATCTGCTCGTGCACCTCAGCACCCAATATCACGAAAACTGAGATGAGCGTATTTAGGCTTTGGTCCTCATGGGCTGTTGTGCCACTCAGTTTAATTTAGCAGTCTAATCTTTAAAGTTCAACGCTCCA